CAAACTGTCATACAAGAGATCTAGAGTTCAAATCTTACTATCGATAAAATTAAATAATTATCTAGATATCTGTATTTAACTTACAGTAAACTTTGCTTATTTCTAAGGTTGTAACCTTGTAAATCACATTGTACTAATGCCAATTGAGATATTGGAAGTGTAATAGAGTGTTTGGAAGAGTATAATGTTACATAAATAAATCTTGATAGGATCTACAGACAGAAGATCTGTATAGTAGAAATCCTGAGTAAAATGAAGTAGTACAGATTTTAATAGTTATACCAGTTAATATTTGATCTGAAAAAAAAAATTTGTATATAAAAAGATTAGCAACTAAGATGCGAGTAAGTCTATTAGAAAACCTGCATACAAAAAAATTAGTAGAATGAGTATGCATAAATCTATTACACAAGGTCATACAGCAATACCAACCTGGCTTAGCAGCTAACTGGATTTGGAAGAATCTGTTCTGTGTACTATCTGGAGATATAGATGACTTTCAGCAACACTAATCTGAGTGGTAACCAAATTTGGAAGAGTCTATCTCATGTGATATCTAAAGACACAGATAACTAACTCAGTAAAAAGCCACCGTAGGAACTAGGTTTGTATAAATATTAAACAAGAGTATATACAAGCTAGATTAGAATATAGTGTAGCATATTTAGGTATCACAATACCTAGTGATTAAGAAGTTGGTAAAGAGGTACTTGAGATAGGCCTAGACTTCAAATATTAAAGTTTGTGAACACATGTCAGCTCTGTTGATGTCTTCCAAAAAGGTGAAGTAATATGAGGTTAGATGAATATTAAGTAACAAATAATAGCAAGATAGAAATGATATATAGCCAGAGAGTTTAAATAGAGAATTTTCAAATAAATTTCAGGTATAGCAGCTAGTATAAAACCTTCAGACAGACTACTTAAATTAGACAATCTAAAGTTGTATATGTAGCTAGTTGTACTCTCACATATGTAATCATTGTTCAAAACTATTATACCAATAAAAATTTTGCTGATAGCATGTTGTATAAAGTAAAAAAAAATAAAAATAAAAAAAAAATAAATTGGTTTTCATATATAATCTAATAGAATCTGTACTTGGTTTTTGATTACATAATAAGAATCATATTTGACAAAATTTTTAATATATTTTTCAAACTTAAAAGATATCTTTATTTAAGTTATACGTAGTGAGTTATAGAATTAAAATAAAAAAATAGTTTAAACTCTAAATAAAGTAATATTACGATAGTTGAATAGTAAAAAAATTATCAATTTTTTTTTTTTTTTATAAAAAACATACAAAAAACTAAAAATATATCAAAATATGATAAAAATAAAAATATTATGAAGTGATTATTAAAACAGAGATTTATTTGACTTTTATTATCCAACAAAATAATTATATTAGCGAAGTGAATCAGAAAAATGAAAAGAAATTTTTACCAAACCAAATTTAAACAATATTGAACAGGAATTCAAACATACCTAAATAGGTTTAGATTCAGGTTCGATTCGAAATTTGATAAAATGTTACGGTTCAGTTGGTAATCCATTTAAGAATACTACTAATGTAATTTAATTTTTTTAAAAATATAGTAATTTATATTCAATAATAATACATGAAAGTTACAGAATTTTATAACTTTTAAAAATAAAATAAATAAACAAAATGCTATAAATTACAAACTTTACAAGTCAAAAAAATATCTAAATTTTTATTTTTTTTAAAAAAAAGAAAAAAAAAAAAATACTTTATATATTACAAGAATGAAAATCCAACCTAAATAAATAAATACAAAATAACATCATCAACGCTATGATTTTAGCGTACACTTTTTTTTCCTTTGTCTCCTAGTAACAACTCTCCATTCTTCTTCTTCACCACTATTACTGTTATTACTACTAGAATCACTTTCATCTTTTCCAATACAAGCGAAAGAATGTTGTTCACCTATATTATAATTATTATTAAAATTTGGATATGATGAAGTGGATTCAGTATCACTTTCTTCGGCTTCTTCTTCCTCAACTACAACAAAACTTTTTTGTTGTTCACGTTCATTCCATCTTAAACATCTTGATATTGAATTAAACCAATCATTAGATTGAGATTCTAGGCATACAGTAGGGAATGGGAATTTTGATGGAGTAACTTTGATGTGATCACCCTCTGAAAATTTTTTTAAGAGTAAAAAGAATATATTAATAAAAAGGTATTAATTAATAAAATAAAGAAGATAATATATAATAATTTAAGAGAAAAATTACGTTTTAATTCAATTCTTCCTCTCCCATCAAAGCTTGCCCAAGCAGAACTACGACTATTATAAGGAACGCATATTCTTAACTCCATTGAGTCAGGTAAAAGCATTGGACGAAAAGATAAAGTATGCGGACAAATAGGTGTGATTAATAATGCAGGTATTGAAGGATGAACCAGAGAACCGCCTGCGGATACAGAATAAGCAGTTGAGCCTGTAGGAGTAGCTACTACAAGACCATCTGCCTGAACAGTAGTAAGATGTTTATCATCCCCTAATTATTGATAGAATCAATGAATAAAATACAGAAAAAAAATAATAAACATAAATAAAAATAAATGAAGTAATAAAAGCAATATAAATAAGAGCATACCAAATAATTCCAATAAACTCATATAAGGGCCAGCCCCACGATCAACAACCAAATCATTTAAAACTTGAAAAGTTTCAGATGGTTTAGTGATTAGACAAGGTAAATCTTTATCATGATCACATTCATGTTCAGAGCATGTACTTGAATGAGAAGAAGTTTCAAGAGAGTTCCAATCGCTTTGTCCATCAATTAAACGTTGCATCATGATTTCACCAGTGTCACTACAACGAGTTGCTTTTATGGGGTTATCGGGATTTTTTATTCGTCGGTAAACAGTACAAGTGAAACGCATTCTTAAATTTACACGTATACCCTCATCCAAAGCACTTGTTATATGTTTTTTGTAATCTTGAAAATTAAAGTTTGTCAAGAATCCAAGAGAACCCATATGGAAAGGTAAAACAGGGGGAACGATTTTCTGGAATAACCATGAAGTGTATAATACAGTTCCATCACCACCGAGCTAATATATATTAAAAAGAACATATAAATGATTATTAATAAAAAATATTATTAATATTATTAATATTATTTATTATTATTAATTAATTAATTTTACCGTGAGAACAAAATTAAATAGCTCAGGTCTTTCTTCGCATAATTCTTTTGTCCAAAATTTTAAATAGCGTTCAACTAAAGGAGATTCTTTCATCATGCCAGGATAATCTAATCGCTTTGATTCTTTCATATTTTTATCCACATATACAGTTACGCCATGATCTTTATCAAAGCGAGGAGTAGTGATCAAATATAGGGCTAATTCACGAGTGATATTTATTAAACGAAGGTCACCAGGTTTTGTGACAATCATGATACCGTGTATTGAACTATGAATACGAGCATTTCCTATACAAGTAAAAAAGAAATAGTAATAATAATAATAATAAAAGATTAATTTATATAAATTATTATTATTATTTTTTTTTTTAAGATAAATTTTATAAACATAAAAATTTACCAAGTTTTTTTGATATTTCTCTAACACTAACAGCGGTCTCAGCCAATTTTGAATATTGAGTAATTTCACAATCCGAACGATTTTTTATCATATCTAATAATGGCATTGATGGATCGATATCAGAATGAACAAAACAGGGAGATTTGGGAGTGGGAAGAGGCGAAGGAGAAGGAGTTGGTAATTTAGCATGAAGATTTTGACGAGGTTTGGGAGGATCAGGACGAGATTTTGAATGATCATGCTTATCCCTTTTGTCATATAAAAAGTTTTTATTTATTGAAATAGAATTTGATGATACGGAAGTCATTGTGGGATGATGATGTATTGAGAAAGTTTGGATGAAAGACTTTTTATATTTGTAATAGATTAAATTAATCAGATAATAAATAAGATAAAATGATCCCGAATAAAAAAATAAATTAATTTTTTAATGATGCAATTGTGGAGTGACTAGAGAAATATATAAAAAAATCTTAACTAGACATACATGAAATTTTAATTCGCTCTGTTGCCTTTATAATCTAAACCAGTAAAATATAAAGAAGTATAAAATTTACGCAGATTTTACATGATAAGAAGATAAGATTGTAATTGGGAAAATGTAAGTATTTATAAATTAATCGTCGGCATTATTGTACATGTATAAGTAATACTAAAATTTTGTGACACTTAGATATCGTCTGGACTTGACGAATAAGGTATATAAGTAAGTCAGATTTTTGTGCGTTTTCTAAGTTTAGAGAGATTTTCCTTAACGTTGATAAAGAATCCGCATAAACATTTATATAGTGCATGCACATTTGTAACGGGCATAACGATAAAATGAAAGTGTACGTAGAACTTTGAACATTAACGTTAAGTTTATAAGAGCGATCTCTTTTAAGATGTTTAACGTTAGGTTGATACGTAATAGTATATGCAAGTCAGAAAAACTAACCGCCAAGATTAGTAACCCTAATTCTTAAATTAATTTAGTTAGCATAGGCAATTTAATCTTAATTTCCGTAGCATGGTAGGTTTATAATTTCAGAAATTTATTAAATTCGTAAGAGAAAATAAAATTCGAAACTAGGGAGTGTTTCAATCAATAACATGTAACACTTAATGTAAAGTTGAGAGAGAGCCAATTACCTGGCGGGTATTGACAAAAAATGAAAACGAAAACTTTAATTGTTGGATAAGGGTCAACATACATAGCAGGCTAAGGTTTTCTTTGTTAAAAATATTTGTTATGATTGTTTCAAAACTCAATTGTTTTATTATAATATGTACGTAGAATCTTTTGTCGGCCGTTCTACGTAATAATGTGTGAGCCAGTAAATAAACAAATCTTTAATATTCTTTTTTAGGCACGTACTGTCCGTCGTATGTACGTACTATTTTCGCCTTATTTGGATCATTTCAATTTTCATATCGATATACATAACAGATGATAGAACAGTATCGCAGATTATAGTAAAATTTAAACGATTTCGATTGGGTTAGAGCAGGTATTATAGGTAAAATTACCTTTTCGACAATTTTTAGGATGATCGCTCTTTGTGTTGCGGAGATGCCTAAAAGAACCCTTATTTTATTAATATGAAATTTTAAAATTGAAGTGTATTTTTTTGTTTTACGTAGAGTAGGTTAGAATTTCTAAATGTTACTATTTATAACAATTAGAATCAGACCTATATTTTTATTAACTTTTAATTAGGACTTTAACACTGAACCGTTTGTTCACGTGATAAAACTTTTCTAAAATCTTTGTTACTTCGCATAAACTATAATTAAGCTATTAGCCATCTCTAAACTATCTATAACATATATTTAATAAATTTTAAATTTATTACTAAAATTTCAATTTTTAAATTTTGTTTATTTGTAAAAAAAAAAAAAAATAGCTATATAGTGTTATAAATCTATTTTAAAGTTAGAATCTAACCAAATTATCTTTCCTTTTTTTTTATTATGTCTCGACCAATCAAAATCTGTAATTTGCGCACGCACACGGATATTCCGATGATTAAATAATTAAAACTCAAATGAAACAATCATTTTTTTGGCAATAGGCAAGTCTATACCCCATTATAGGCATAAGGTCAAACTTTGTGATGTATTACCTTAGATCAAGTATATTTTTCGGAAACACAAATTACATAAAACGTGTACGTAGTCTATCAGAATAGTCCGATCCAAATGAGGCTAATATTAATTGTCGAATATAATGTTTCAAGTAATTAAATTGTTCATAAAGCTTTAAGCGAATTAGGTTTACAAAATCCATTAATCTATAATCGTTTATTTGTTTCTTGAGTTTATTAAAAAAAATATATTAAATCGTGTTTAATTTGGGTTTATAGATAAAACGTTTCGCCGTTAAAATTCTCTTAGTGTTTAGATCAAAAAATTTCATTTTCTTGGCCCTACATTTCTTTATTAATACAATTATCGGTATCCGGATGAATACTATGTTATTCAAACAAAAATCTTTACCCGGGTACAATCACTAGATAAATGCTTTATCAAAAAGAACTCTTTTTTACCTGGTTAAGCAATCCATTGCTTTTAAATTGGCCCGTTTACTTTTTAAATTGGTCCGTTTATTTGTTTCAGATCTAATCATATGAATACAACTTGATTAGAGTTTACTCACGTTATTTTCATTTTTATAAAAAGTAAACCGTCTATCTGTATGCCATAATCAGCGCAAAGCATATTGATTAGTCAGAAAACCATGAGAAAAAATACAGTTATCTATTTCTAAATTCCGAAGATGGTCCTTTTTAAAGTAGGACCGTGAAAATCGTCTAAACTCATCAGATCTCAAATAATAATAAAATTAAGTTGGGGTAGTCAAGATCAAAAGTCTCTACCCTTGTATTATTAAAATATCTGAATTGTCTGAATAACAACTTTTATCCTAGTCCAACCTTTAGGTTGTAGATGTTATTTTTCGGTTCATGTAACCATTGATCTTTAAGTTTCGTTTAGGATTAATGTCCATATTAGAGTTCAAAGTTAGCAAATATAAGTAAAATTACCCAAAGAAATTTTTTTGTGAGTACAAAAGACTAGATATTTTTCAAGACGGACGTTGTATATTTTGCTGATCATGTTACCTTATGCCCTTAGGAATGCTAAACAACTCTACGCGACTAACTTTATTTGACTCATAAATAGAGATATATATCGCAAATTAAAAATTAATATTATGATTACAGTATTAACGATAAGATTAATTCATGATAAATTAATTAATAACAATCAATTAATCATTATTATTTTTTTTTATTTAAAGCGTAATAAATAAATAAATAAATAAATAAATAAATAAATAAATAAATAGAGTCAGACCTCTCTATAGTCACACTCTCAGGATTAGGGTTCAAACTCTGACCCGTAAACGGATCACTCAATAAAATGGGTCACTCGTCAATAAACGGGTCAACCAACTTT